AGCACTGCAGAGTGATGGCAACACTGGCAGTGACGGAGCACAAGTGTTAAATGTTGCCACTTCCACAGAGGATTTATTCTCTCAATGAATACACATATTTCAACAGAAACTTCCATTTAAGTAATTGGAGGAATTACTTGGTTGAATTTGAGCAGTCAAACCATATTGCAGCAGTTTGAATGGTGTGTTTGGCCGCTGTTTTACGTCAGTGGGCCAAATATGACTCATCACATCTCATGATGCAGCATTCCAACCTCTCTATCTCACCTGTGTCCATTATCTAAATGAGAGGACGGCATAAATCTGTCTCATGTCCAGCAGACTGCGGCGTTTGGAGAAAATGAGGTTTAAGAAAGTCATGGTACCTAACATCGGTTGCAGCTGTTTTTTGAGTCGACAGCAGTTTGATATAATGTTCAAATAACTGATGAAAATAAAAAAAATTCTATACAGATTTTTTTTAAAGCTGCACACATAATACGATAAAACACATTTATGCAATGGAAACACTTTTGACATCTGGATGTTTTTCATTTTTTTATTCATGCCATAACGAAGCTCATATGTTGAGCTGTGATACCTGAAGTATGAGCTAATGGGAACACATGGACAAACAGTAATACTGTTTTTGTAGCGTAGTTACACACTAAAACAAGGAGACTTAACATTTTCCCATTGCCACCGGCAACTGGTTCGGCCTCGGTGCTCTTAAGTGCTCTTAACAACAAGTGACTCTTTTGTTAAGAAAACGATGCCTTCCAGAGCGTGAATCTCTAAGCTATGACAGCATGAATGCTGTTTTATCAGGGTGCTGCAAGCTCAGAAATGTCATGGCACAGTTTGACCTGGAACAGAATCACATGAGTTTGCTCAACAACAGCTTTTGCATCCTGCAGTTTGGATGTCACCAGAGTTTCTTAAAAGCAGGTATACATTTATGCTCATTTATTATTTTCTTATGAACTGCATGAGTCTGGCTCGAGCAACTTTACCTACAGTCATCTCCAAGATGTTGGGCAGTCTCCGGAAAAATGTGGTCTACTTGTAGATATATTACTTTCCAATTGTACCCAGAAGATGGACAGAATAGGATTTGTTCACCAGTAACACAATGGTTACTCTATTGATAGAGCTTTATCATTTTAGATTTCTTAAAATTTCCTGAGAGCACATTACTATCCGTTTATTCCCATGCGTTGGGACGTCCTCTATTGTTCTTGTCTTCACAGAGATTTCTTCCTTTTTTTTACACTGTGACCAAATACCTGTTTCAAAGAAATTCGTCTTTTTTTATGGTTACTTCCTGTCGTGAATATGTGTCATTTATTTCATATGATTCTAACTACAAAAATCATCAAAAGCATGACATCTCTCTTAGCCAATATATTATGGTTTATGCAACTTTTGTGAGTCTCCCTAAACTTAAACTCTCTTAACTTAAATATCCTTAACAAAACAGTGTCCGGGTCATGCACATTCAGCAACCTTGGGAAAATGATGGCTCGGTGCATTTTAGGAACAGAGGACACATACTGGATTCAGCTCAGGGATCTCCAGGGAGGAGAGTCTATATAAAAGTAACAGCTGAAATTCTTTAGCCTTGAATTCTTTACACAGGTCTTAAGGTCTTACTTTGAGCAGCTTGGATCAATTTTGCTTATCTGACTTAAACACACACATCTATCTATCTATCTATCTATCTGCAAAATATGTTGTAAATATTATATGGTAGTTACATGTCTACAACAAAGTAGCAAGTCCATTGGCTTTAATTTTAGAATTTTATTTGTGCAAAGCAGTAAATTTACAGGCAAAATCGTTATTGTGCAACAGCATTTTCCCCACCAAACCTGTCTGATTACAAAGTATGCTGCGAACACACATGCATTTAGTTTAGCTGCATAGATAGCAAAGGTGATCACCGAGTCACATCGTGTTGTAGTTGTGGCTGCTCATTGTAAAACAAAAATATTACCACAGTGTACATCAGCAATAATCAAAAGGAACTTTGAAATGTTTCAGAAAATGTTTGTACATATCTGTTAGTCAATATTACAGTCGAAGAAACATAAGCTGCGTACGTTCTCTACTTAGACAAGTGACAGTTTTACTGGATGAACCAACCACAGTCAAGTTTTATCTCTGTCTTGGTCCAAAGGTTGTGTTATCCTGCATGTGAATAAACAATTAGGGAATGTAACATTATTTAACATTATGATGTGCCTTTTTATTCAACAAATTAACAGCTATGATAGATTGTGGTAAAGTTTACATAAAAAACAACTCATCAATAAGAAAATAAGAACTCAGGTTGACTAAAGGAAAATGGTATGAAAAACACAAAAACAAAAGACTATTTAGACTGTATGCATGTACCAGTAATACTTTGTCATATCTGTCCAATATGACCCACTGCACATTGTACTGATAAACCTCAAGTGCAGCATAACAAAAAAGGAAAAAAGAAATCACATCAAACAATCAAATGTAAATATAAATAGACTACACAAGTGTATAAAGTAAAACTAACATTCCGACAACTTAATAGTCACAGTTTAGCAACCCTTTTTAAAAAAACAAAAAATCTATTTTCAGTCCTAAAAAGTGCCACAGTCGACATTCAAATGCCTGAAATGGTTCCAGTATCGGGTTATAGGTGTGTTGACCAGTACTACTTCCCAGTCTCACCAGAAATTCAGCCTTCACAGTTGTCACATATTCATGCTGTGGCGCCAATGGGAAACCCCACAACTCAAAGATAAACAGGGTTTAAATCTAGATGTTTCAATTCCCAATGACTGTCTATAATGAATACGAATAAGTACGCTGGCTTAGGTTGCACCACTTTTATATGTAGCAGCAAGGTCCTGTGGCGAAACATTGTATGCATGTTGTGCTAAAGAAATTTGGGTTTTGTGTCTTGGCAGATGTTAAGCGATATCATGACCACTATTAGCCCAAGCTTTTTGAGAAAGGGAGCTAAAAGTGTTCAGCCAAACAGCGATGGTGAAGCTGCAACATGGCGGCTTGTTTATGACTTATTCATGTAGCTGACATACTTTACTGACCACAAACCACCTTCAAACAAGGCGGCAAACAAAAAAAATGACTTGTTTTACTTCCTTTTTTTAAACTTGTTTTTCATAGCCATCTTTCATTGAGTGAGCTTATATTGTGAGCTCTTTTGGTAGGCTATTAGTTTTAATTGTTTCCTTCTTAAAGCGTTTCAGTGGCATATCCAGTTTTCTATCATCCAGAGCTAAGTAAATAAAATCAAAACATTTTACTGCTTTATTGCAAAAGCTAAATTACCTTAAGCTAAATTTAGCTAGCTAGCTAGACACCTGTCTGCTCTCTGTTTTCTTTTCAATCGATTTTTTTTAATCATGTTTGGCTTTTTAATTTCAAGTATGCAGCATGGAAACTGCAGAACTAATTTAGTAGATTTTGTGTACAGATGATAACAGCTCCCATGCTTTCTAGAACTACAGCCGCTGACAAAACATAAGCCCTTTTTTGTCAACATAAGTGTGAGATTAAACACAAGGCCTTGAAACTGTAGCCATCAGAAAAGAGGGCTGACATTGGCATAAACAGAATTACCTACCCAAAAAAGTTCACTTAAATTCAAATGATCACGCTCTTTGTTTTAAGAGTATGAGTCTCAGCAGCAAGTTGTAAAAACATGCAATATCACCTTGTTTGGTATATGACGATTTAGTAGGATTAGTTTGGATTTAGCGAAAAATGCACATTTGTCTTTTGCATTTCCTTCTCTAAATGTGACCAAATTAAGAGATGCAATATGCTCGAGTACACCGTGGTCATGATATAAGCTTAATTTTGAATTAACTGCACCTTATTGAACTCTCAACTGAGCTAGCAGTGATTTATGGAGAACTCGGCTTTGCCGTATGACGCGACCACCTAGGCGAGTGGAGTCTGGGCGCAGCGATGAGGCAACTTGGTACCAGGCACTTGCGCCAAAACCCCAGTGAACAGTCACTAAAGAAGCCTTTTCCCCGTTACAGAGCCCCCTTTGGGTGCACTGCCGAACCTTCCTTCAATCTACGATTGCCAAAACAATATTTAGCAGCCATGTCCAACATACAACACGAACCTCATGTGTAAACTACATAGATGTGATAATGTAGAGCCACTTGTCACAGTGATCAGAAACACTCGGAAACCCTCCACTCCTCGGTTACTTAGAACACTGAGAAGAACTGGGTTTTTACTCGAAAGGATGTCCCAAAACATCAGGCTTTGCTAAAGTGAAGAAGCCTGGAGTTGGATGTTGATTTGGTGGAGCCGCCCAGTATGGTAATAATGAAACATAAAAATCAAACAAACAAGAGGTGTGTACTGAAAAAAAGAAAAACTACATCAAGTCACAGGCCTACTTAGCCCATCATCAACAGATAGGGTAAGGCTACTGGCACATTGAAATCTATATATAATATACAGTCAGGATCTGTCTGCCTCGGTGAGCAAGACTACCCAGAATAGTTTGCATTTTGGCTCTTTCCCATAGAGCATTTCCATGAGGGAATGATCTATACACACATAAATGCAAAGTTAACCTCGCCTACAAAGCAGTAACCGAAATCCACTGTTCTCCCACTCAAACCCATCCTGTTAGTGATATGATATCACAGAGGCAGAAGCAGGGAGTGCTTCTGCCTGGCAATGAAGGTTAGTAAAAGTTGGTGTTTTCTCTTTCTTTTTTTTTTCTTCTCTTTTTTTTGTTGGCCTTCAGGTAGTCGCGCAGTGTAAACTCGGAGCTGCGATGGATTTTAGGGGCGCCCTTTTAGCACCGAGCCATGCGATCAGGCTTCGGCTTTGGTCAACACGACAACCGACATTAGGCGGGGAGCTGACCCCCTGGAGGCAGGGAGTGTGAGTAAAGCGTAGATCGTGGAGTCTTTTATCTGCCTGTACGTCGTCCTTCTGACACTGTGGCTCAATGCGTTGACAAACCATCCAGTGACGCGGCTCCTTTAGGCGGCCCAGATCTTCTTCTGCCGGAAGTAGGCCTCAAATCTGGCCTGGGCATATTCCTAAAATAAAATAAACAAGAGAGATACGGGTAAGTGGTATTACATCGGCTGCCCCTCTTTTTAATACAAATTCAGCTTCTGCTTAAAAATAGTTTCCACTCAAGTTGTTGCTCAGTTGCTGGTATTAAAACTGAACTTCCTGAGTACATTCTTGTATTTTGAAAGTACAGGATGAACTTTAGATACAAACTTCAGAAAGTAAACTGAATCCAAGATTATTTTGGATTAATAAGAAGGGAAAAAAATCTTAACTTAAATTCAACCTATCACTGTGGTTACCTTTTTAAAAAAGGAGAACTTGTTGTAAATTTAAAAACTAGAACTCCAGCTTAAGAAATGAAAAGCTCACCATGTATCCAAACTCGATGGTGGACAGTCGGGCCTGAATGATGGACCACAAGCCCCAGAAGAAGTGCGACGCCAGAGCGAACCTGAATTAAGAGGCAGGGTTGTTTTAAACCGCACTCAGAACGCGTGGTCGGACATTTTACTGCAACCGAGCTCACCTGTTGACCTCCACGTACATCTCCTCCTTCAGCTTCATCTGGTCCTCGGGGCTCAGGTTGTTGAAGCCCTGATCGGACTCGCGCAGGTAGCTTTCAATAAAGTGGAGCTGAAACATGTCACCCGGTTAGTGGAGCGCGTGCCAATCAAAACGAATGAGCAGATAGATGGACGCATCACTCATACCTGCTGGGCCTTGGACGGGTAGTTCTGGACGCTGACTTTGAAGAAGGGAGACTCGTCACAGCTGTAGTCGTACATCCACTCACAGAAATGGTTGCCGATGTCGAAACCCCTGCAACATAAGCAGATGTGCAGAGAAAACATTAGAGAGGGAAGGAGACTTTAAAATAAAAAGCAGTTTGCTAGGTTTCGTAAGTTTCAGACCTTGCGGCTACACCTGTTCTCAGAAAGGGAAACTACTCTGCCTCTCAGTTTAGATGAAGAGAAAGTACATCAATTGTTTTATTTTAAGGTTTGGTTTTGGAAAGTGAGACGTTTCCTTTCCTTAATCGCATGCGTGTGATTCAAGCTCCAGAAATTATTATGTTGATTGGATTATAACTATATGTATATTTATTCATATATGACCCTTTAAAAACAAACAGAAGTAATCAAACATCAAACATTACGCAATATTGCTTTTACAAACACATAAGGACATATTGATGAACTACAGTCATCTTTGCCACCTCTAATTTATTATTATGGCTTTCACAAACTTAATTTCAGATTTTTTTTTATGGTTATTTACTGTTTAGGGAGCCTAAATGACCACGTCTTCATTCCTGTGGCTACATCTAATGTTGAACGTTTCTTCGACACGCTGCCTATTGTTCATGTTTTGCTGTTTCCTTTAGGTGGACTTCCACCTTTTCCATCTCTGCTCCGCCTTCCATCCCCTGAGCTTTTAAACAGCTGCCCCTGCTTTCATCTGCTGCCACCTGAGGTCCCGCAGCAGATCCACGACATGGCTGCCGCCGTTCGGCTTTGCGACGAGTTGCATAACGACAGGCGTCGTGGGTGGATATCGAACGAGCATAAAATAAATCAACGCTTTCTTTTTTACTCTCTATCAGCAAGAAAATAAAAGAGGCCCCATGAGGTCATGCTCTTAAGCAATTTGCTTCCCAGGCTGTTATCAGGCCTGTTTTTAACAGAACCCAGCCGCCCTCCTCCAAAACGGGCCAGACCACCCTCTACCTTGTAGCCAATGAAGGCCGAACAAACCCAAACGCCCACAGGGTGTGTGGGACTGTGTGCAGCAGGGGGTGTGTTCTTCCTGTACATACATGAGACGGTATCGGTAATGTAACAGTCAGAGAGACTCAAAGAGGCCACGCTGGAGGGGAGCTGGGAGCTCACTGCAATCTACATTGTTTCCCAGAAATGAGCCACTCAGGAATTCAAACACACACCCCCCCCCCCCCCCACACACACACCCACACACACAAACACACACACATACACACAAAAAAACCCCAAAAACCCCTCTGGCAGATGCAGAGTCCCCCCCCCCACCCCCCCGTCTCTGCATCAGACCTTTCTGCAAGCTGCACACAGGAAAAAATCTGCTGCTCCGTGGCCTCCATAAGTCACTCTGACGGGCCGCTGCATTGCCTCCATCTCCCAACTGTTACATAACTGCTGCCGTACGAGTTATGGCAGCCATTGACTGTAAATACTGATGAGGTCACTCGTATCTGCCCCCCATTTTCCACTGATTTTGCTTTCTCTCTGCTTTGGTTGGCTCGCTTTATTGGCTCTTGCAGGCTATGGATTGCCTTATTTCTGTTGGAAGGAGGATGGTTGCTGGTCCATTGCTCCACCAGTATGTAAAACTCTACTTTTCGTTGTTCTGGTACAAAAAAAATCTAATAATAATATATCCTGTAGGATATATTAACATTTACATCGACTTATCACAGTGCTAATAGATCAACAGGAAAAGATAGAGAGATGATGATGATGAGAACTCAAAGCCATCCATCAACGGTCCACCTTTTTCTGAGGTCGGGTTTCTAAGGCAACAGGTTCACAAGAGAAATGCAGACATTCCTCTCCCCGGCGACATTCCCCAGTATCCCCGGGATCCCAAAGTATTCCCGGGTGAGAATGGATATATGATCCCTCCAGCAAGTTCTGGGTCTGCTCCGCCCCAACTGCACGCCCCAAATCCATCAATCCACCTCATTCTTTGGGTCACTCCTCAGATCTGTGACCACAGGGTAATGAGTGAATGATGAGTCAACTGAAAGCTCACCCCAACGTCTACCTATCCCGGTAAGGCTAAAGGTTATGACCTGAGGCTTTCCCCTCTCCGCTCTTCACAACGGCCTGTCTGCGCTGGACTTCCTACAAAAGCCATTCTGGTTCCACAAAAGAATAAAAAACCCACAATGTTCAACTGTAACCTGATAGGTACTAAAATATGAAACAAATTAACCGCTGACTGCATCTACTTTTGTGACTACTTAGTAACAAAAGTAACAAATAACTAGTAATAAATAGTAAAAAAATAACAGATGTATCAACATGCTACTAATAACAAAAGTTTCACACTCATTTCTTGTAAAACTCTGCATGCACCTGCTGGCCAGCTGTGGGGATCATCATCTGATTTTGTTAACCACACAGAGCACGTCTGGCTCTTAAGTGGTAAGCCGAGGTCCAACCTATTTACAGGAAAACACCTGCATTTCTACTAGATATCCGACAATCTATTGACAGTTTTTGCAAAAACAAAACATGAGTTTGGCAGGATCTCAAGGACCAAAGGCATGCATTTCCTTCCCTTTGTCTCTGGGTTTCATTTCCTCACATCGTGAAAAGGTCAACTCAACTGCATGTATCCAAATGTAAAATAATGTGCTCATCAATGACAATTTTTACGCTCTGATTAATTCCAGTATTTTCATAACAGCCATTCTTAGAACCAAAGGTGACCCACTCGAACGCTTTTTCTCTTTTCCTTCAAAGTTAAACATAAAAAGAAACACGTGTGGAGTCGAAAACAACAGAGAATCCTCCCATCTCAAAGTACCTGTAGTTGTAACTGCTGTACTCAAAGTCGATAAGCATCAGCTTCTGTTTGTCGGAGCTCTGGCGGCCCTTCAGCAGCAGGATGTTCCCTGAAAGCAGCACGGTAACAGAAGTCAGTTCCTCTGTGCGTCAGACAAACATGCGCAGCGTTTTGCGCAGGCTGGCCGGTCGGCTGGCGTTACCTTCTTGGCAGTCGTTGTGGCAGAAGACCACGGGAGAGCGGGTGGACTCCAGCAGGGACCTGCCCGGACACAGAGACGGCACACGTCAGCGACAACACAGAAGGGACCTTTGCGCCAATGGCCGACCCCGACCGGTGACCCGGTCACATGGTTTAGCTGCAGAAGGAGTCTGTGACCTTTCACCTGTCACGGCGGCGTCTTTTACCTTGACGATGGTACTAAAATTAGACTCAGCGCAGTAAAACGGGCTGGTGCTTTTGTCACCAAAGAGGCGGACTACTTTACGTCCTTATTATTGGGCTGTCCCACATAAAATGTTCCATGTGACCCAAAAACGTCTCACGGCTGTGCTCTGGCTCTAAACTTTTCACTCTTTCTCGCCATCTGGGACCCAGTGTTTGACTCCGATTCTTTACTGGCTGAACGCTGGAGTCAGAAACGTCTCTGGACTTCCGGTCCGAAGTCAGAAAACAGCATTCCAGAGCGATGCGTCATCATCCCTGACCTACTCATTCAGTCACATAACCCCACGGGAGGAAACTGCCCATCCCTGTGTGTGTGCTGGGTGTTACAGGATGGGGGAGGGGGGGGTCCATACTTGAGTGTTTCCATCTCCTGCGGCAGGTTGTAGGCGAGCAGGCGGTTGAAGCGGCGCAGGTGGGACTCCCTGGTGAAGTTCAGCCTCATCACTTGGCTCAGGTACCTGGTGACAGCAGGACGGCAACGGTCACTCGGAGCAAAAATTTGCACAATAATGAAGCAGACTGAGGTCGTTTCCGACGGTTGGACTCATTACAATCTGTTAACAACTTTGTCATTGTTTTTTCCCATCATTCTGCTTGTCTGAACCTGGCCGGAGACACAGAAGCTGGAATTTAGTGTGTTAAAAGGCTTAAGAGGATAAACTACCAAATGCAACTCTAGTGAGAAAAAAAGTAAAAGATTCATTTTCCAACAGCCCTTAAGTTCAAAACGACCCCTTTAGGGTGTTTTAAAGCCGCTTGCTGCTGAAAAAGTGACGGATAGGAGAGATACCCACCAAAATTCACAGTTACGTCACACTAACCAAATCTTTTGTTTGTTAATGTGCACGGTGCGTTCAAACACAGCCAGCTTGTAGGACATCTTCACCACTGGATGTCAGTCATAATACTCCCACAAAATAAGACAAACACATTGATCGTCTATAAGTTATGTCAAATTCTGGCATATTCTCACAGATTGGGTACATTTTTTTTGGTTGTTTAACAATGATTTGAGTATAACTATGCTCATTTGAATTCACTCATTCAATTTCAAGTCCTGGACTTTCCTGTTGTCTGTACACACATGTATGAATGAACTGGGAAATTTCCAGTCTGACACATCACGGGTCAAAATCCCAGGAGGCGATAACCTGGCACTCATCTTCACAAAGGGGTCAGTGGGATGTAACAGCGGACTTTAACACCACACGCTGACAAACATTGCGCAAAGTGAACCTTAACCAGTAAATTCACGTCAAACGGAAGCGCATCACCACAGGCAGAGAGCGGAAAAACCTGCCTGTGCGTTATCAGTGCTGCCCCGGGTTATCTCGGGAATGGGAAAGCTGTGTTACCGACTTTGGAAAGTCCTCTGACAGACTCGGACGACTCACTTGTCCATGGTCCCAAACAGCCACTTGGGCTCCTTGTTGAAGGGCATCCTCATGCCGTGGAACCTGGCCATCTTCTCCGCCACCTCCGCCGTGATGCTCGGCTCGCTCAGCTCGCAGGTGTCCAGTTTACGACTCTGAAAAGAGAACATGTCCCAGGTTTTCATTATTATGCATTCCAAAGAAACACTGTTCACACCGCAGGACATTCTGGAATAACCTGGGAATAACATAAGAGAAAAAACTGCATTACTCCCACAGCAGGGACATCTAATGTAGTTTAAATAAATGTAGCTTTGCTCTTTTTTTTCTCCACCCATTCAGACCATTTTGAAATGTTTTCCTCATTTTGATAAAAAGTAATTCTGCGGTTTTTATATGTCCAGTCGCAACACAAACGATTTAAACATTAATTATAAAACACGTTCAGCCACCAACTTTGGGATAACTTTGCTAACTTTGGGATAAAGAAAAGTCTACTCAGCGTCTGCAGAGAGCCCCGTTTAAACAAATCAGAGCTATCGGGGCTTGTATTTAAGGAATTATACTCCGTTTACATTTATGTGTGTACTCTCACTATCTCGTGCTCAATGTCTGAGCCAGATAACTTAAATGTGCCTGTTTCTGTGTGTATTCGCTGGAGTCAGCTGAGGTGAAACAGCTGCTGATTCATTTCGTCTGACCACTCAGCAAAAAAGGGTCCGTTTACTCCACAGCCAAGAGAATGATCTGTTTCTCTTTGTTAAAGGATAAACGGAACATTTCTGGGTTTTTAACGACTAAATGTGCCATCTGTATGAAAAATCCATGTTTTGGGGGGAATTTTATGAACAAAACAGTGACCTCAAACAATGGTTTTAATCAACGGAGCCCCGATTCTATTCTGCATTGATTTAAACCAATCAAACGCATGCATTTTCCCTAAAAAGATCAATGAGCTGATTATTTTGGACACACTCAGTTCTATTCAGCCCAGATGAGAACGGTTAGGGCAGCTGCAGCAACGTATTTAAGGCATGTTTTTATGATCATGGAGTAATTTCGGACGTTTTTCGCTCATCAAACGTTGAACAAACCGGTGGCGGTGCTTTGCTGACTTACAGGGACGTACTGCTCCAGGCGGCCCTGAGGGAAGATGCCGTACAGTTTGGGTCCCAGCTCCCTCTCCGCCAAGATGGCGAACATCACGCTCTCCAGCACCATGGCCTCCGCGCCCTGCACACACAGAGACACAGAGAGTTGAGGCCCGGAGCTTCACACAGCAGACACAGCGCGTTAGTCGCTCCCAGACCGCTGCCCTCCAGCCACAGGGTCTCAGATGTGTCATCATCATTACCAGCATCTGGATCTAGTTTCACCTCCTCTACTCAACGCGCTGTACACTTCTAAGTGAAAAATGCCATTAAAGTTGATAGATTATTATCATTTACAGCACAAATAAGCTAAATATCTATGTCTTTTTTTTTTTAGCTTTATGTTCCTTATTTTCTGGAAAGATCTGATGTTTCCTTTCTGTTTCCCTTTGACCGATCGTGTAAAGTTCAGTCTGAACCTCTGAGAGCCATTTTCTACAGATGTGCTGTAAAAAGTGGTTCGGCCGCAGTCAGAGATCTGAGCTGAAGTCTCTTAAATCTCTTTTCATCTGGCTGCTTTCATCGCCTCCCACACTATGATGCTGCCACCACCGTGTTCCACTAATGACAACGGACTGCATCAAAGTTGTGGTGCAATCTGTTAAATTCCTTGGCTAGGAAATAGTTGTTTTTTTTGTAATGTATTATCTGCTCTGTAGGAATTGGACCATATTTGGATTATTAATAAATAATTATCAACAACTTTTATTTGATTGGTTTATGATTGATTTGAGATAACAAAGATTCAAATCTTTCCTGACTGAAAGATTATTTCACTTTCATATTAGGTAGAATTGGGTTTGATTTAATTCAACTAGAGTTGACTAAACAGAGTTAGGGTCTTTCTTCGAAGGAAAATGATAATTCCACATCGACACTATGTGCATTTTTAAACATTAAAACAACAAAAGACAGAGGACATTCCCAGGTTTCCAAGCAGGAAACATGCCAAGGCTGCTTTTGAAGGCCTTTGTGAGAAAATGCAGGGTGAAAAGGGCTTCAGGGGAAAGTTAAAGGATGGAAGAGAGAGACCGTGGAGCTTGAATGAGAGGGAAATGCCGTGTTTAGGGTTAGTGAGGTCTGCCTGTCGGAGCGGTGAGGAGAACACAAGAGGAAGATTAAAACTCTGCGGGAAACTTGGCCGTCCCACAGCAGCAGTCGCGACTGAAGGGGGGGGGGGGGGGGGGGCAATGGCCTTGTCTTCCTCACTTAATCTTACAGACACACAAAAGTCCCACACATGCGGGCTGGAGGCCACTGGGAGCTCAAGGCTAACGAGGACACCTTCTCTCATAGCGGCGGGACCACGTGACGGGCTTAATCTGAGGCCTGCTTTCTCACCATGATTCACCTCCAGCCCTTTGTGCGCCAGAGACAGAGAGCTTGGATGGAGGACAGATTGCGAACACTGGCAGAGGATGCAGCTCACTTAAAGTTTTTTTAAAAAGGGAACGGATTTAGGGCTCAATCTCCGACTGATTCGACTTTTGAGAAGTTTAGTTTTTTTGTTTTTTTTCGATTAGAGGACCAACTGAAGTCCAGGTTTCCTCCAAAACACACAAACACATAACTCTCTTTCACGCTTTCTTTTTTGGGTGAAAAAAACGGGGTCGGGAAAAAGTGTAAAGCCTCAGATTGAAACGTAACAGATGCATTGTGGGAAATGTAGGAGTAACCTTTGACCTTTGAGCCTGAACCCCCGAAAATTAGTATATTTCTTCCTTCGCACTGTCAACGTTAAAACTTTTTCAAGCTCCAACAACTTTTCGAAGGTTTACTTTTAACATTATAAACCTCTCCCGGCGGACCTGAATCAAACATAAAAGCAGCAGCTTCTTCAGCCCCTTTTAATGTGAATTATCATCAGCTGGCTGAGGAGACAGAGGCCCTTTTCACACAGCCGCTCGCTCCTCGTTGGCATGAGAACGTCGTCCCCGTTGACCCGCCGCTGCTCCTCTGCGGTAGAGAGGCGTCAGCGCGGCCTGCCGACGCCGGGCCGGCCTCACAGGATCAGCTGTGTTTGCCGGGCTTTGTAGGTCAGAGCCAGCCCGCCGTGGGGGCCTGCGAGTCTTCCGACACTAAAGAAACACCTCAAACAAAAAAGAAACAAACAAAAAACTTCCAGCTGCTGACTCTAACCGACAATGTGCTCGATCCCAAGAGGGCCAAACTTTAGCAGATTTGACTAAATGTTCTGTAGTCACATAAGAATTCTCGAGATTAGTGACTAAAGACCTCAGAATATCTGTTTATTATCTAAACTTATTTTGACACAATTGCTCTTACTGACCCTGTTAATGGTCAGTCTGTGGGTTTGAATTTATGGTGTCACAATGGCAGCGCGGGCCGTCCCCCCTTTTGGCTGGGAGGGTTAATTTAAAGATTCAGTGTTACTTTACAAAGTATCCTATTTAAATGTGGGTATGAAAGCGTTTTAGGCTTTTTTTGGTGGCACCGAAATCAGGTTAAGTGTTTTAAACTTCATACGCTAACGACTAGCACAGATCATTTTTTAAACTCCTCCCACTTTGCTGAACAGCCAGTCAGAGAGGTCTCCCTCGATTTACCTTTAATGCAAAGTTCCTCTGGCACAACCTCCCGTTTTCAAAATCGTACATGAACGGTCGGCCTCAGGCCAGAGGAATGTGCCTCACACTGACCGTCCGGCTCAAATAAAACAATGCCGTCCTCTTTACGACCTCGGTGGGGGATGCGGGTGTTATCTGGACCCACGCAGAGCTGTGCTGAGGCTCCGGCTGAGAAGTTCAGCACTGAACTCTCCTCCTTGTGGGGGCTGGAGTCCTAAAACAACCTGTACTTGCTATGATCCGTGAGGCGTGATCACTGGTAAAGGGAATAAATGATGTCTTTTGAGCTGGATGTAAAAGGCTCATCAGCAGTCAGAGGCTGCCGATCCTCTTAAGCTGTTCGGAGCGCAAACTTGACCCTTTGAGAATAAAAACGTACGGCTAATATCATCACGCGGAGCTCAACACGGTCGGGTGCCGAATGCGAGGCTAAATGCTGCATTTAGCGGCTGGAGGCTAAGAAACGTTAAGATCTAATGAGCTCCTTGGAGAAAAACGGGGGAAGAGGGAAGACCGGTGAGTTCAAAGAAGCTGGCCGAAGGCTTAAATGTGCCATTCCTGTCAATTGGAGCCAAGCGAAAGCTGCATGCCGCGAACAGAAAAGCTTCCCTCTGGCCACCAGAGAGAAAACGACTCATTTTTCAAAGCTGTCGTTTCACGTGGGCTTAAAGTTTTCCATCGGACGGGGAAGGACACGGAAAGGACCCTTTGGAAGTGACTGAACGCTCTGATCATGGATAAGCGGCCTTCAGCGTCCTCACTCTGCCCCCCCCCCCACCGTGCTCAGATAATACTCCCGGCGGTTACATAACGCTTCATCTGCCCAGTGCTGATCACACGCAGTTTCAGATCTCCAGCATGAACTGACCACATGAACCACTTAATCGTCTTGACACGCATACCGCCAGACCCGGGTCCGCTTATGGGACGCTTCCCCTGACTCAGCGAGCTCTGAATTTGATCGACCCAGATCCCGCATTTAACGATTAACCTGGAAGACAAAACCTTGAACCAAAACTCTTGCCCCAAAGACCGAGGCAGGCATCTTTTTCTCCGAGCCACTGGTTTCCTCACAGGGGCATCTATTCGGACTACCAGCAGTTTACGGTCCAACAATTCATATTTACACAAAAACAGCTTCTGAACTAGCTTTCAGATTCGGTGGGGAAAGCATTTGAAAGGAATGAAAAACAGATCTCAGCCTCATTGCCAACCACAGGGCCCTTTTTTTTTTTCAGGTGGGCCTCACAGTTTCGGAGACGTCACATGACAAAATGTGGGTGGTTTTTTTTTTCTATTCAAATGGAAATTCCCCCCCCAAAAAAAGAAAAAGAAAAGTTCAACACCAAACCAAACAGACTTTTTCTTCCTCTGGCATGAACTGCTGTTTATCTGCTTGGTTTCATTGGGAGAAAATTGTCAGGACCTTGACACATCTGTGTCTGCTTCATGTTAGAACATGAAATGGGTTTATTATAGGTGTGCGAATTATCAATAATCGGGATTTTGGGCAGAAATAGAGGGCTATCCGATCAATTTGCTCCGGTTTGATCTCTGCGTGAGCCCCAGAGACGGCAAACAATCTTTGAAAACCTACACAGCAACGCGTCTCTCCAGAAACTTAACCCGTTTATCCTGTAACTGAATCACCCCAGAGAGACGTCAGCAAACAGGTACCATGTCACGCTCCTCTAGAGAGCCATAATCTAACCTGAAAAGGCCGTGCAAATAAATGGTGGACGGCGGAGCCATAAATTCCATATCAAGGTGAGGGTTACTGGGAATGCGGGGAGAGCTGAGGCACTGGAGGGAGAGAGGCTGCCAGCTTTTAGGGCCACGTTCCTTCTTCTCCTAAAGAGGGGCGGTACGCGAGTGTCTTTTCGAGGCAAACGCTTTTTCTTTTACATTCAATCCTCGAGATTGGATAAAGGAAGTGAGCTGAAAAGGCAGGACTTTTTTGGGTGATACTCGATCGCTAAAAACAGAAACCAAACGAGGGAGACGTTTTTCCAGTCATGTGCGTGTGAAACAGCCCCCAGTTGGATGTTTTCCCAGCAGAGCTGTTCGCTCTCAGGTCTGCTTGCGGTTGCTGGGTTTCTAAAAGCAGAAGGAGAAGTCCTCAGATATCGGGCTCCTCTATTGGGCCTGAACCTTCCCTTTAGGTAGAGCTGATGGTTCGGGAAGCCCAGCTGAAGGCGGTCCTGTTGAATCTGCTGCTCTGAACCGTGGCGCTCCCGTATTGACTGTCTGACAGGCCTGAAGTCCTCCGCCAGCCTCGCTTTCATTTCCTCTGACCTATTTTAAATGTGCAAATGTCACAGCTCGCTTCGCCGCCTGTTTGATTTGCCTCTCTCTCTCTGTCTCTCTCTCTCTCTGACGAGCCTTCAGAGCTAAAGCCTGTGATGTCAGGCTGCCGTTCAGAAACAGAACCACGGCAAAAAGCAACCCCCTCCCCCCCCCACCTCCCTCCCGTTTCCTGAAGCCGAACCGGAAACAGAAGCTTCCTGCAGTGAAACCGCCGCTCTTTGTTACCGTCCCGCGTCTCGTTCTGCCCGATTCCTGCTCGGTGTTTGCTGACTCCTGTTCCTCTGGGGGGGGGTTTATGGGATACTTGGTGGCCTTGGGGAGATGCAGCAGGTGTGCTCAGAGCGGCCGACAGCTGCCGCGCTGACCTCGGCGCTTATCTGGCCCGCTATGCGTGGACGGATTAAAAGCCCGGGCTGGTCGGATGCTAACCCTAACCCTAACCCTCGGCCGGCGGGGACAGGGACAGGGGGGGGGGGGGGGGGATCGCGTTCAGTTACGCAACGGGCAGAATGTGGCTCACAATTATTATTTTACTCACACAATATGCTGATGAGTAAACATTAAAGCAGGAAAAGGAGGAGGATCTGGCCTGTCCTGTTCTGTTCAGCAGCTGTGATGTGGACCTAAAATCTGCATCATGCAAACGCCCATATCTGCACATAATTAAGTGTCACACCTTGAAGAAAGGGACAGATCCGTGTGCTTTTAGACACATTACGAAATACTGAGAGGGGCCAAAAGGCTTAAAAGCGGCTAAATCTTCTCAGTTTTCTTGTTTCGCAGGGAAGCGTGAAAGACGGTCTTTCCAAACTCTGCAGAATCGACGGTTTTGGTTCATATTTGTGGTCGTCGTGCTCGGTCCGACTGTGGCTGCGCCGTGTGATTGGACGTCTGCCTGACATGTGACACGTGTCTCCACGGGGCTTCTCTCTGTGGCGTTCTGTCGAATCCAAATAGGATCTGCGTGCTCAGACAGCTTTGTTTGTAGGTGAGATCATCCCAAGTCAGCAGGTCAGTCTGTTTGACTGGGGGGGGGGGGGCGGGTGGGGAGCGAATAGCCGTCATCTAAAGGAATGGAGAAGCCGGGGCAGCAACAATGGCTCACCAGCACATGAGCACATGACCATGTGACAGGGATTTGTCACTCAGCTCAGAGGGTCAGGGGTCATGGTGGCATGATTTGTGGGTCAGTGGGTCTGAGGGTTGGCAGGCCGCGAGCGTAAACATCCGGCCTGAAGATCCATTTCTAATGAGGTC